GGGGGGGGGGGGACAAGGAAAGGCAGGAACAAGATGTCAGTTTAAAAATATTCCCCAAATCTACTGACACATCATCTAAACAATACAAATGAAAAAGGCCAAGTGATTCATAATTAACCCTCTTAAAAGGGAAATATGAAGAAGAAGGGGACTGATAGCTGTCACCCAACATACCCTATTACAACCACTATTTAAACATGGGATCAACAGGAGGAGGAAAGAAAAGAAGATGTTATTAAAAATTAATTTTTACCTCCCTTAGGGGTAACTGATTCGAAGGCTAGAAGAAAACTGAAGCTTTATGTATACTTCACTCAATCCTTATAAATCTGAGGTAATAATATCCTATTTTAGATATTAGGTAATGAATCCAGAGGAGTTTAGTAACTTGCTCAAAGTAAAAAAGCTAGTAAGTTGCTGGATTCAAAACACGCAAGCCCTTGTTCTTTCCACTACCCTCTCCTGTGTATTACAAAAAAATAAGAATACCAGTGAAGAGCTATGGCTCAAACATTTTAAAATACCCTAAAAACTCTTAAAAACCAGAATTTATTTTCTCTTTGTTTGGCCCAAGCATTACTTGAGAACTTTCTCTTTACTGAGAATCTACATGATCTGGAGATGTGAGGAAGATGATATAAAAACATGATAAAAGTTTTTAAAATTCATATTCAGACCTTGAAACCATAGGCGGTTGAACTAATGCTAATAAGGTTTTAATTTACCCTCTGGGTTTCTTGAAATTACAGAGTTAATGCAACTAATTTGCAGCAGCTTCTTGTTCAATGGTTATCAATGAAGATAAGTACAACACTGACACACCTATGATCCTTCCTGTGCCAGCCCAACCACTGAGTATAACAGGTGAGAGAGAATCTTTAAAAATCAAATCTTGAATGAAAAAATACATATTCTCCTCCAAATTGTTACCTCTCAACCCAGACAGTGCTGACTTGAAAAGTGGCATCTATTTTGAGCTCTTCTACAGAGCTAGTAAATAAGTAGCGATCAAAATTTCTCACTTCAAATCAAACCAAACCAAAACGCTCCTTTCCTCTTTAATTTACTAGGGTGTTTTTTTTTGTTTTGAATTTAAATCATTTTCTATTTTTCAATTACAGTTGATACAGGTGTACACCCTAGTGACTAGACATTGTATAACTTACTAAGTGATCATCCTGGTAAGTCTAGTACCCATCTGACGCCATGTGGTTATTAGAGTATTATTGACTATATGCCCTATGTGGTACTTTACATCCCCATGACTATTCTGTTAACCACCAATCTGTACTTGTTAATCTCTTGACCTTTTTCATCCATCCCCCCAAACCCCTCTCATCTGGCAAACTGTCAAAATGTTTTCTGTATCTATGAGTCGTTTCTGTCCTGCTTAGTTGGGTTTTTTTAATTCATTTGCTGATAGGTATGTATTTATTGCTATTTTATTATTCATATTTTTTATCTTTTTTCCCCCTTCTTCTTTTTAACAATTCTCAGGACTAGGTGAGATACCAAGCATAAGACCACTGGGTTGGGAAACAGTCCTGATGTTTATATCTGCATACACAGGGGCGAGTCACTAGTTCAGATCTTCCTTGAGACTTAACAATTTGGCTGTTGGAGACTTACTGGATGAAAAGACACACAATGCCAGTCAGTTTCAAATGATATCTGAGCACCACAGCAGGATGTCTAGCGGCAAATTTTGTACAGTTTCAGAAAGAAAAAAAAGAAAATGCTTCTCCTACTTGATTCTACAACAAACTGTCAAGGGGAAAAACAAGTCCAAACCTCACACTGTAGACGCATAAAAGAAACAGTTTCTCACTTTACCTGTGCTCTGTTCACAGCATGCATGGACACCTGGCACCTGCACTAAGAGCCCTCCCAGACGGAGAGTCCTACCTTGCTGACTGGGCCCCCTTGTCATCATCAGAGCTCAGATCCACATCCATAGTGTCTTCTGCAGCAGGGGAAGCTGCCTGGTCTTCCTTCTTACTGTCCTGTTTGCATTTCTTTCTCCTTCGTTTTTTCTTTTTCACAGAACTTGGGGTAAAAACTGTCTCTGTTTCCAAGATGTGTGAGATGTTGGAGCTCTGAGATGGCCTTTCATTTCCACCTGATTTTATCAAAGGGGAGTCAGTATCTTTGAAGAACTGATCTTCGGTCGGAATTGGTGACGTGGCAAGGTAAGCAGGAAGTTTTTCCTTAAAGAGAACACGAAGAAAGCAAAGTTGTCCACAGCAAACCGGACAGTGAATCAAAATAATAATAAATTCTTTCCGTATCTAAATTGTTACAGTACTAGAAAGAACACAGTCCCTGAAGGTAAGAAAGTCACACTGAACTAGGGCACTGCTTGCCCTAAATAGGTCTTTACTCTAATGCACACAGCTAAGTGTTAGCTCGTTTTGGTCACATAACTGAATACGTTTGGAGGAACCAGTATGCCGAGTTAGCATGAAACATGAAAACTATAATTAAAGCAGAGCCAATTAAATTATCTGTAAAAGGAAAGTTCAAAGCAGCAACAGCAGCATTCCAAGGAGGCATTACAAAGCCTTCTGTAAAGAACTTACCAAGAACACTAAGAACAGGACAAAGTAGAAGACAAGGACAGGGCAAACAGGACAGGTCAAGTGAAGTGAGGAACTATGGTAAAATTTATAGTTAATGTTTGTGTTTGCCAAATTAATTGAGGGTGGAGGAAGGTGATTATAACAAACAATACTCTGTGCATCTTTAAATCATAAAATATTTAAGATATCCCTTTAGGAATTCAAAAGAAAATAAATCCCAACAGTTAGAAATAATTAGACTCTTATTTTAATATTAAATATATGATCAAGTCTGGTGTTCAGGAAATTAACTTCTTAATCATTCCCTTCATTCCTTCATTATCATAGGGGAAATGGAAGGTAGGTAACAGAGATACAAATTAATCTCAGATAATTCAGAACACTCAAGATTTTATGTAATAGTCCTGAAAATAAGTGGGTTTCCATAATTGTTTTAAATTAAATTTTCGAATTTGGCATTGGTAAACATATTACCCCAAATCCAAAGTTTTGTTTACCCAAGCAAAATTTGTGTTCACCAGCAACACATACTTAGGAAAAACTGTAATGACAGGATATTATTCTGCAAGCCCCCATAGCTCCAAGGTGACAGACCATGGTCTCTGACACCTAGCGTCTTTATTTTTTTTTTTTTAACCCTCACTGGAGGATATTTTTTTCCATTGCTTTTCAGAGAGTATGGAAGGGGGGAGGGAGAGAGAGAAAGAGAAAAATCAATGTGAGAGCGACACACTGATTGGCTGCCTCCTGCACATGCCCTGACTGGGGCCAGGGATTGAGCCTGCAACCGAAGTATGTGCCCTTGACCAGAACTGAACCCAAGACCCTTCAGTTCTAGGGCCCATGCTCTAACCACTGAGCCAAACCAGCTAGGGTGACACCCATGGTCTTTTAATTTAATGGTCTTTGAAATAAAGTGTACTTGTACTTTTCTTTTTAAACACGAGAATTTTTTTTTTTTTTTTTAGTGATTTCAGAGAGAGGAAGGGAAAGGGAGGGAGAGATAGAAACATCGATGATGAGAGTATCACTGATCAGCTGCTTCTTGCACACCTCCCACCAGGGACTGAGCCCACAACCCGGGTATGTGCCCAGACTGAGAACTAAACCTGCGACCTTTGGGTGCATGGGACACATTCAGCCACATGGGCCAGGGCAAGCTGAGATTTTATTCTTTATGTTTAAAGATATAACAATGCATTCTAAGAATTTTTTAAAAGATCCTCAGTGAATCCATTAAGAACAGTTTACCACCATTCAAATTAGTGGATACAAAGTAGAGGGCGAGAGGAGGAGGGGGGAGGGGAGAGAGGGGGAAAAGGGGGAGAAGGGAGAGGGGAAGGAAAGTGTGTTGGTAACAACAAATTATGCTCTCTTGCTTAAGGAAGCCAAAGATGCAATAATTGTTTATAAGGGGTATAGGCCAATTAATTTAAATACGTTGAGACCATAATGAACCACTTCCCTGTGACTCTTCAAGGTTTGAGATGAAATGTCCCAAATCAAAATGGTAAACTTATTTTCCAAGTTTAAAAGTCACATGTGTATGCCCGGCTGGGCATGGCTCAGTGGCTGAGCATCGCCTATGATCTGGGAGATCAGGGTCTGACTCTGATCAAGGTATATGCCCGGGTTGCAGGCTCGATCCCCAGTGGGGGGGGAGGAGGAGGCAGCCAATCAATGACTCTCTTATCATTGATGTTTCTATCTCTCCCTTCCTCTCTCTGAAATCAATAAAGATTTTTTTTTTTAAATTATTAAAAAAAAGTCACATGTGTATGAACACACAGCCTGAAGAGATACACCTTAATTACTTAGGCAAAACAAATGTATTCAAGTCAAGGTGTAAACTGTAACAGACACTAAAGAAAGTTCATTAAAGTTAGAGAAAAAAAAGATGTGCCTTTCCTTATTTAAAAAAGCAAGAACGAAGGCTTTCTGCATTCTCTCGGTACCCTGAAATCTGGCATGGAGAAAAAGTTCTTTTCCACTCCTCCAGCTCCTTTCTGACAGCTTAGTTCTTCAAACTAAAACTAAAGCTTGCCTAACTAGCAACAATCATCTGCACAACTAACCATGAAAACTGCATATTTGATTTGGGATACTCACCAGAGGCCAGAAAACAATGAATAAAGTGGACATGACCCATTAGAACTTACATATTCTTCTTCAGTCTCCTCCACAAAGAAAGCTTCTCCATTGTCACCCAATTTCATATGAAGATCCACAGCATCACCATTGATTTCTATATCAATCTAAGAGGAGAAACAAAGTGCAATTTAGCATTAACAGTCTTTCATTCAAGCTAAACTAAGCCTAAATTCTGGGTTCTCAAGCCAAACTTAATATTGAGGTTCCTGGAGTGACAGCCCCAGGGAAACACTGCTAACTGCCCCATATTCCACCCCTAAAATAAACAAACAAACTTTGGGAGGCAGAGTGTGGAGGGGATGGTAATCACGGATTGAAAGAAAATGTTTTATCATCTATTTTTATAACATATAAACATCTTGAATTATTTAATTCCCAAATGTCATAAAATAGGGGAAACGTCATTGTTGATAAACATCTGAGCACTTTCAGAGTTAAAGCACAGGTAGATTTCCCCTTGCACAGTTCAGATAAACACAAATTTCAGTTACCAAGGTACGGTAAATGTAACTACAGAGAGTACAAACTTCACTGCCAGCTTTTCTGTCCACAAATCACTACAAAAATAACAGATGCCCATCATGAGCAATAACCTATCTTGTCACTTTCTCAAAGTCTGATGGTGATTGGTCCTGTTACTACTACTCAGTTCAGAGAGCAAAGCATGGAGTTGTGTTGCTTCCTTTTCTCCCAGTGATAAACCCCTGTAACATTTCATAAAAATGGATAATTAAAAGAGGAAATTAGCCAAGATCAAAGTGCCATACAGAAAAAAAAAGTAATAATACTGGAAGTAAAATTCAAATGGAATGTAAACAGTAACAGAGTGGCTCAGTTGGTTGAGCGTTGTCCCGTGCACTGAAAGGTTGCTGGTTCGATTCCAGGTCAGGGCACATACCAGAGTTTTGGGTTTGATCTCCAGTAGGGGAGCATACAGAAGGCAACCGATAGATGTTTCTCACACAGATGTTTCTTTCTCTCTCCCACTTCCTCTCTCTAAGCACTGATAAAATTACCTGTTAAGTTTTTACAAAGAAATAACACTTTAGTTCTCAATGTTTCTAATGTTTTAAATTGCAATGTACTAAATACTATTTTACTATTTTTCATTTTCCTATATATTTATAACTGACTGAGAATTTTTAAAGTTGTGACAAATATTTGTAAAGGTTATGGAAGAATCCTAGTTTTTCTTGTTGATTATAAAAATCTGCTCTGCACAGTTTCAGCTTGCCCAGTAATTTTTACAGGAATGTACTACCATGCAAAGTGAGGACTGTTTATATATATTAACTACTATTATATCATTTAAAAGTAATGTAGTTGTTTATCTCTAGGCTGTAAATCAATTCTTTTAAGTACAATACAGTAATAAACAAATACCAACTTTCAAAACTTTTATGAATAACCTGGTAAACCCCAGTTTTAGACTGTTAAAGGAATATAAAGGCAAATATACAGGATGGGACAAAAAGTATGTTTACAGTTGTTCCTATGGAAAATAATACAATAAATAATAATACAAGAATAAACTGTTTTCACATACTTACATCTGTAAACCTACTTTTGCCCCACCCTGTATATAAAGACATAATATAAATAGAACAGTCCATAATCTAAGTGTACTTAACTCTGCCTGGCTCTATGGTGGGAACAACCGCATGGCTTACTGCATTTTTCCCAGTGAGGACCAATTACCCTTCTGACCAGAGACTGAATGCTGGTTTAGACACTGAAGGCAGCTCCACCTTCCCATTACATTCACAGTAAAGAAATCTAGTAGACACCATTAAAGAAATGATCAAAGTTACCATCACCAGGAATGAGATAGCAACACAACGGGCCTCCTGAGATGATGGGCTGAGAAGGGCGCACCATTACTGTGTTATTCTCACCAAAATATGAAAACAACAGACCAATTCAAACTGAGGAACAATCTACATAAGTAACTGTTGTGTAATCGTTAAAAGTCAAGGTCATAAGGAGACTGAGAACTGTGAGAGAATACAGGATAAAAGCAATGTGTGATGATCCTGGATAGGATCCTGGAACAGAAAGACACACACAATGGGAAAACTGGTGAAACCTGAATAAGGTCTTTAGTTAATAGCATTATATCAAGGTTAACTGCCTGGTGCTGATAATTGTATTGTGGTCATATAAAAGGTTAACAATAGGGAAAGAGGTTGGGTGAAGGATATACAGAAACTTTTAAACTACATTTGCAACTGTCTGTAAATCTAAAATTAAGAAGTTAAAATATATGTATATATGTTAATGTCATAAAAAAAACAAAGACTGAGGCCTTGGACAGGTAGCTCAGTTGGTTAGAGTATTGTCCTGATACACCAAGGTTGTGGGTTTGACCCCTGGTCAGGACACATACAAGAAACAACAAATGAATGCATAAATAAATGAAACAACAAATTGATGTTTCTCTCTCTCCCTTCCTCTCTCTCTAAAAATCAATAAAAACAAACAAAAAGGACTACTAAATACTCTGTATCTTGATTGTGGAGCTGGTTTCACGGGTGCATACATAAGTTAATACATCATACTGTATCCTTTAAATATGTGTAGTTTATTGTGTTATTTATAAAACAATAAGGCTCTAGAAAAAAATAACATTAAAAAAGAAAATGGGAAACATAGGCAACTAAGAATTAAATATAAAATAAGAAAAAGCTATGTATGTAATTTAAGAAATATTAATAAAATAATTATTTTACACAAAAACTCATTTGTCTTTTACTCTTTAATTGAAAGGATTGCATAAAATAGTTTCCATAGGATAAACATTAACCCTAACTCATTTTCTTCCAGCTAGCTTTCTTAATGTTTTATATTACTGTGAATATTTACTGCTAAAAAAAATATTTGGGTATGACATGAAATCTAACTCTTCTAAAACAAAGTTGATCTTTCATTGTGCTTTAAAACCCTGCCAGAATCTCCCTACATCGTTTAGGTAGATACTGCAGGCCAAGAGTAGAAAGGTGAATACTATGTACCTGCAAAGTTTTATTACTAGCTCAGTTTTCTGACTAGATTAACACCAATTGTACTAACAAACCTTCCAGTTGTTCCATTATCTAAAGGCAAGAGAATGTAAGAGAAAGAAAAGCCAACACAAATATCATCTTTTAAAACGAATCTTCCCTAAAATAAATAAAAGTCAACCAGCCTATGGTCTGGGGATTTGCATTTCAGTCAGATTTGGAGATAAGTCCTGGTATCAACACAATTTAGATTACAAATAAGATTTTACAGCTTTGTCAAAACAAACAAATAAATTTGGCATTGTTTCAACAAATGTACCCATATGTATTCTTGACTCTATCAATCTATTCCATTCAAAACTGTTATGAAGGCATTACCCTAAATATTTTAAAATGTTGTCTAAGGTAAAGGAGATTTTTCTAAATACACCTAACATCTCCATTTATAACTCCAATTTCTCTGTTTTGCTCTTCTGAGCCGTAACACATAGGAGTATCAAAATAATTGTCAGTCTAAATAACACAGGAAGATTTCCCTTGGAGAGACTTCCTGTAGTAGGGCTTTTTGAATTTAGAAGCAACTTCAAAAAGCAATTAAGGTTGACTTCTCCTACAATCATCTTTAACGTCATACAGATTCAAAATAAAAGGCGGCGAGAGCTCACAATAATGGTTTAAGCACTACTGTCATCTAACTTTTCAACTTCCTGTGCCCTGCACTCACCACTTTCTCTTTGGATCTCAGGACTCCCAGCTTCCCAAACCGAACATGAAAAGGTGAACACTGATAGGTGCCATCCTGCTGCCGCACCACAATGACATCGATGCACCCAGACAAGGTGGCTTGGTTAATACCCTTGTAGAGCTCCTTCACAGTGACAATCACCTGCCCAGCCAGCTGTCCCACATAATTCATGGTTTGAGACTACAAAAGACAAGAAAAAAAAATTAGATGCAATGTTAACACTGAATTTGTGAATCCAATGAAAATGACAAAGAAAAAAATTAAGTGACTAAAATTACATTGTTCATTTGTACACCAGATTATGTACCATTAGTAACCTTGATGATTTTGAACCCATCATGCTACCACTGTTTCTACACATTTCCACACATGGACCATCCAAGACTGCCTTCTTTTGTATCTGAGGCATGCATAAGTTCCTTTTCCTTTTCATCATCCAGGATAGTGCCAGATGCCATTGGAGATTTTTCTGCAAAGTAAAGAAGCTGCACAGAACCACCAAATAACCCAGACCACAACCACTGCCCTCCTGCCCAAGACTCTTGGACACTCGTGGCTATTGCATCCACTCTGGCCATAGCAGACAAACAGGAAAAAAAAAAAAGACCAAATATCATCCCTAGGAGAAACCTGCTGAAAGATAAATAAGTGAGAGCTGCATTTTCTATGGGACTATTAATAGAATATTATGGTTCAGATAGATGCTAGATTAAATAAACTCTAGTGAGCTAGACTGGGTCTAACCTAATTTATAACATTACTTCTAGGGAAAATCCTTTCAATGCACAACTCACTGGCACATACATTCCATGTTCCACAAAGTTCAAAACCAAAAAAAGGGTTTAATCTTGTTCTTCAACTGCAATTCACTATTCGAATCAGGATCACCAAGTTATAAGGAATCCCCCAGAAAGGGTCAAAAGAGGTGAGTACACCTGACTAGGTCTACAGGGCAAACAGGAAATGCTTTCTGTCTCTGTGCCCCACGCCTGCTGTGGCTGCAGTTAGGGATGGCTTTATCTGACCACAAAATAGGGCACCCATGATATGCTATGCTGTGAGGGCAAGTGGGGAAGTCTCCCTGGCAACCCCCTCAACTCTCCACTAATTAGGAAAAAAAAAACAGTCCCCTTCTAGTCCTAAGTTTGTCAAATTTCATTTCCAGTTAGAATATCCCATTTCATTCATTAGACACTGACACCCCTGGTACTATGTCAAAGCACAATTCAGCAAAAAGCGTTCTCTTGGGGATGGGAGGGTTGCAGACCAAACAAGAGAGCCTTCCACAGCTCTGGCTAATCTAGAAACTGACTTCCACCAAACCAGAAAACTGAGATATGATTCTCTAGGTTATCCATAAGCACAGTTGTCTCTCTAAACCCAGCTTTTGAGGTGCCTAGAGCTCAAAGTTACATGCTCAGAAAAGTTCCCAGATCACATTCTATGATGTCAGATAAGTCCAAAGCTGAATTAGGAGAAAGAATTCCATCCCTTGGGAAAACATGAGCGTCTGTCAGGACATCTGCCTGTAGAGAAACTCACCCCACTCTTTAAAGGTAAGCAAGTGCCTGCTGGCAGTGTCTGATTATTTTTTTCTGCTCTTGTACACAGATGAATGTGTAATCAAGGCCCATGAGTTTTACACCAAGAAGCACAGCCACAGTACTTTTACCCTGAAAAACTTTTTAAATATTTTATAGTTAATGTTACCAAGGCTCCCAAGTACACCTACAGAAGGTGCATTTAAGTGATATAAACTAGATGCAAAACTTATTACTAAATAACTAAATGAAGTAGTGTCTTCTATGTGCTAAATTCTAAAACTGTTACAAGTTAGTGAGGACAATGGTTTCAAAATAATTATATTTGGAATGAAAAAAAGAATGATCAAATGAACCATCAATAAATGAAACTAAAAAAAATAAACATGCGTGGGGAGGAAACAATGTTTCATCAGAATATTCATATTATAACTCATTATATTTTTTAAAATTAATCTTTTTGAGAGAATTGTAGATTCACATGCATGTAGTTGTAAGAAATAATACAGAGCAATCCTATGTACCCTTTACCAGTTTCCCCCAATGATAACATCCTACAAAATTCTAGTGCAATGTCACAATCGGGATACCAGCAATGATTAAGTTAAGATTCAGAACATTTCCATCATCACAAAGATCCATTCTATTGGCCTTTCATAGCCACACACACCTACTTCCTTCCCAGTCTCACTCCGCTCTTAATCTCTGCCAACCACTAATCTGTTCATTTCTGTGATTTTTGTCATTTTTAAGAAAGTTACATAAATGGAATCATATAGTATATAACCTTTTGAGATTGCCTTTTTCCACTCACATGTCCATGGACATTCATCCAGGTTGTTGCATGTATGAACAGTTTCTTTTTATTGTGAAATAGTATTCCATAGTATGGATGTACCATATTTTGTTCAACCATTCACCTGTTGAGGAACAGCTAAGCTATTTTAATTTTTGGCTATTACAAACTGCTATAAGCATTCCTGTATAGGTTTTCAAGTGAAAATAAGTTAACTTACTACTAAATAACCAAATAAAGTAGTGACTGGAGTAAACACCCAGTCATGTGGCTGCTGGGATGAATGGGAATTGCATGCTTAATTTTTAAAAAACACTGCCATTGAAGTTATGAGAGATCCAGTTTATCTGCATCCTTGGCCAGCAATTGACACTGTTACTATTTTAGCCATAATGACAGGTGTGTAGTGATACTGGTTTAAATTTGCATACCTCTAATGGCTAATGATGCTGAACATCTTTTCAGGTGACTAGCCATATAAATATATCATTACATTTTGCTTCATAAAAGAGCACAACTAATATAGAAGGAAAGGGGAATAAACAAACACCATTTGTGCCTTATTTTGGGGGGCATGGTGTACAACTTTTATATGTTAAGAATGTCTTCAAAAACAGAAGTGAAATAAAATCGTCACGTGTAGTTCATTTTTTCACTTTTACCAGAAATATTTTTCAGCAACCTAGGAGAGTCCATCAGAATTTTCATATTCTGTAAATAATATGTTTATATCATGCTTTTTGCCTTTCCTGGCACACACATTACTCAAACAAACAGCACCCAAGTAGTCAATCTTTATATTATTGCTTGATGATGGTGGCAATTTTAAAATGAGTTTTGTTACAAATTTTTTTTTTTAAATTCCTAACTAATTAAATACGCCTTTTCTTAAAAGAAACTGGAAATTTTAACTTTTATGCATCTTCATTCAGTCATAAACAAGTCTTATAAACTAAATATATAATAAGCTTACATCAACTAGAGCACAGAATCCATAATTAAGTGTAACTACATCTACTCAAGATGATTTTACTTACCATGGGTGAAGGATGTGTTGTTATATAAGAAAGTCTATTGTGTAAAATGCCAGTTGCTAAAGTAGAAAAATACAGTCTGTTGAATGACTGATTTTCTCTTAACAGATATAAAACAATTCTGTTTATGTTACAAAGGCTGTGAAAACAAAAATAAAGGAAGGCCTGATGCCTTAACATTCTACTATACCCTGGGAATGAAGGGAACAACAGTGCTAGGAGGAAAACCCAAAAAGGCTTAGAGTAGGTGGATTTCCTCATGGTTATGTCTGGGGGAAAAGCACTTGGTCACTGTATGCATGATACCTTAAACAGCTTCTTCTTTAAACATAACCTAGCACCATAAAACTTTATTCCTACATGCCCAGCCCAGCACTAGCAATAATAAAGGCCAGTGAGGACAAAGTCAGGTCTCTGACACTAGCCTGTCCTGGTCATAGTCTGGGAAAGCAGACTCTGTGTAGAGGCAAAAAAGACAGATTAGGTAACTCAATAAAATAAACTTTTGAAATAAAACTAACATTAAAAAATATAGCAAAGTAAGCTACATTGTAAACTATTCATCATATTTTATAGTTAATGATGAGAAAAAGAAGTGGAAGAGAAGTTAACATGAATTCAAGAACAGTGAGTGACAGAGACCAAGGGATGCAGAATGAGACAGATAAAAATTCAGAGAAAAAGCAAAGACATTACATAATCATTACATAAAGATGCCCACACAGAAAGAGCACTGTGGAACTGAAGGATGTTCACAGAACAGCATCCCTATCTTCGGGCTCATAAGCACTAAGAAAAACATTAAAATGCATTTATTGATTCTTAGAACTGGAAGAATTTATCCAGCACAGTCTTGCAACAAATACCAAAAATGCTTCTAGCACATCTCTGAAATATGATAAAGTTAACAATCATCACAGTAGCAGCCACTACTTTTTTTTGAGAACTTACTATGTACCGAATTCTTAAACTTCTATGAGCATTATCATCTCAGAACCACCTTGTAGGCAAGTATAATTTCTATTTTTAAAGATAATAAAATTAAGGCTTACAAAGGTGAACTGAATGTTTCTCCCCCTAACCCCCAAATTCATGTTGAAGTCCTAGCCTTGGAGGTAAAGTCTTTGGGAGGTAATTAGGTTTATATTAGGTCAGGAGGACATTGATCCCCCCATGATGGGATCAATATCTTTACAAGGAGAAGACAATACTAGGGCTCGCTCTCTCTCCCCCCCACTATGTGAGAACACAGTGAGAAAGTAGCAGTCTGCAGCCAGGAAGAGGACCCTCACTAGAAACTGAATCTGCTAGTACCTTGAGACTTTGGACTTCCCAGCCTCCGAAACTGTGAGAAATAAATGTCTGTTGTTTAAACCACATAGTCCGTAGTATTTTGTCATAGCAGCCTGAGCTAAGACAACTATTTTTTTTTTTTTTTAATTACAAGATTTCCATTGTGTTTTTTTTATTTGTTTGTTTTTGTTTTTTTAATGTATCTTTATTGATTTCAGAGAGAGGAAAGGAGAGGGAGAGAGAGCTAGAAACATCAATGATGAGAGTCATTGATCGGCTGCAGCCCGCAACCCGGGCATGTGCCCTGACCAGGAATCGAACCCTGATCGCCTGGATCCTAGGTTGACACAACCGCTGAGCCACGCCCGGCCGGGCGACAACTATCTTTTTTAACATCATATGCTACACTGCTTTTCAATTTAGGGACACTTCCAGTTGACAGAGAGACACTCCTCTCATCAAGAAGTTCACAACAGCATCAGACAGCCCTAGTTATTATGTCCACTAGAAATCACACTGAATTATGTCCTACTCTCTTCTAAATGGCACTACTACACACCAAAGAGTTTATTATACAACCACAACTAGGTCTCATCTATTTTGGGCTAAGCATTCTTATTCCTTAAAATATCTGAAATGACTGTGTTTACTTTCACTTTAATGACAAACTACGTGTTTCTTTGGGAGATCCAAAGCTGGGCAAAATGGCAGAGACAGGCCTGGGAGGCACTTATTGATCACTTAACTAAAAATGAAAAATCAGTAGGTGG